GAGAGAAACAGTCTGGTTCTAAGTATATTTTGGGAGGGTAGAAATGCCCTTGTCTTGATAGAGCAGCATTTCCAAGCTGTGTTCAACTTGGTTGCCTGTTTCCTATTCTCACTCTAATTGCCCATGCATGCAGAAGCCTGAGAAACACCATTCAGATTAAACACCAGAGCATAACATTAAAGAGATGAGGGATCATAACCAAAGGCAGGTATGAGAAATATTCAGGAAAAAAGCCATTGCCACATTCTCATGCAAGCTGCTGCTTCTTCTTCTTCATGTACCAGTAGTACATTTTGGGCTACGCAGCACTAATAGGGGACAAGGATCCTGAGGTCTAAAATCTACACATACAAGCCTTGACTCTGCGATGCAATCCATGCAGGGGAATCCCTGGTATCTCCACAGTGCCACACCAGTGCAGAAAGTTGTCCAGTTGGATCCCAGTATAGAACTGGGGCTTGTAAAATAAACCCTGATCCCTGCAAACAACCTGCTGATTCGCATGTAATATATACTATTGTGCAAAATCCCGCTGAAGTTAATGGGAGTAAACAGTGCTGGCAGTCAGCTTTGGCTCTGTAGGCCTAATAGGCAAGTTTTCAGTTTAGGTACAAGGAACCGGGATGATTTCCTGAACCTGGACCCCGATACTGGGTGTCAAATACATGCATGAGAATAGAAGAATGGTTCAAACAAGAGCAAAATGAAGAGGCAAGCATGGCTGCTGACGAAGCTGCTCAGAAAGTTCAAGGATGACTGAAGCAGCAAGCGTTATGAAAAGGATGTGAAAGATTGTCCTGTTGCAAGTTAGCTTGTTTATTTATACATCATGAAACACTTTGGAGTCCTCCATTGAAGATGCTATCTATCTTCATAGGCAGGCAAGGTTCTTTGGGTAGATGCGATATCTTTTATTGGACCAACTGAGTAGATGGAAAAAAGTTCTTTGTGGGCTTTTGGGTGCAATCACCCTTCTTTGGGCGTAGGAAGTCTCTGCTGTTCAGAGACTTCCTATGCCTGAAGAAGGGGTGATTGTGACCGAAAGTTTGCAAAGCACTTTTTTCCAGTTACTCAGTTGGTCTAATAAAAGATATCACATCTACCCAAACAACCTTGCCCGCCTATGTCCTTAGACTAACAAAGCTACAGCCAAAAACCTCATCTCTTCATGCCTCAAGAACTACATCCTTACCTAAGAGCGTGTCTTGCAACTGTCTTCCATTTGCCTGGAGCTCAGCTAAGTAGAAGCCATGTTGTGCGACTAACCCTTACCAGGGCTTTTAGTAGGAAAACCATATTGCAGCGTTAAGTAGTG